GAGAGAGAGAGAGAGAGAGAGAGAGAGAGAGAGAGAGAGAGAGAGAGAGAGAGAGAGAGAGGAGAAGATTAGTCTTGACAATTTGTCGACTCGGCGACATATCACAGCGTGCTAAAAATGGCGAGGAAGAGCGATAACGCGAAGAACATCAACGTCGCGGTGGTCGGACTGTCCGGCACGGAGAAGGACAAGGGCCAGGTCGGCGTCGGCAAGTCGTGCCTGTGCAATCGCTTCATGCGCTCCTTGAGCGACGACTACAACGTGGAACACATCTCGGTGTTGTCGCAGGTAAGAGGCATTCCTCGAGTCGCACGACCGGTTCGTTTTCGCTTGCGAAATGTTTCCTCGCGCGTTGCTTCAATTGTCATCTTCGAAGTGTCTTCTCGTCGCGAGCATCGCTTTAATTAGATATTTTTCGATATTTTCGCGTGTCACACTTTCACCCTAGAATCCTGATCATGGATGAGATTCACCGTGCTTATAACTTTCTTTAACTCCATTGAATCGCGGAAGCATTAATAGATTTATATTCCTCCATGTTTTCTAAGCTGATTACGAAAAAAAAATATCGAATTTTGATCGTTTTTACAGAAATTATGAGCGAATATAAAAAGATAGTACCAGGGGATAAAATATTCCCATGTTTTACGTTTACGTAACTTTTTGATTAGAAACCCATATTTAGGGTTTATTGTATCTCTTAATCTTCGCCCGTTGCTTCAGTTGTTGACAATTTTCGAAATGTCTTCTCTCTCCTGCAGTCCGATTTCAGTGGACGCGTGGTGAACAACGATCACTTCCTGTATTGGGGCGAGGTGACGAAGGCCGCGGAGGACGGGACGGAGTTTCAGTTCCAAGTGATCGAGCACACGGAGTTCATAGACGACGCGTCGTTTCAGCCGTTCAAGGGCGGCAAGATGGAGCCGTACGCCAAGAGGTGTGCCGCCACGAAGATCACGAGCGCGGAGAAGCTCATGTATATCTGCAAGAATCAGCTAGGCATAGAGAAAGAGTACGAGCAAAAGGTTCTGCCGGACGGCAAGCTGAATATCGACGGCTTCCTCTGCGTGTTCGACGTGAGCCTCGTGCCGAACAGATTGATCGAGAAGCAGGTCGAGATCGTGGCGAACGTTCTCAACAACCTGATGAAGACGAAGAAGCCGATCGTGCTGGTGACGACGAAGAACGACGACGCGAACGAGCAGTTCGTAAAGGAGGCCGAGAAGCTGATAATGCGCAAAGAATACAAAGGCTCGATCCTGATCGTCGAGACCTCGGCGCACGAGAACATCAACATCGACCTGGCGTTTATGATCGTCGCGCAGCTGATCGACAAGACCAAGATGCGCAGCAAGGTGATACCGTTCGCCGAGGCCGCCAGAGCCAGAAAGGAGCTACTGGACGCCTCCACGGAGTCCCTGCAGAGACTGATCCGGGTGCACGTGACCGACTATCGCGCCTTGTGGTCGCAAGCTTCGAAGAAACTCGCCCAGCACAAGGAGTTCTCCACGTTCGTCGAGCTGTTCGGCATCGAGGCGACGCAGCGGCTCTTCAGAAGACACATCAAGAAGCTGAAGGACGAGCAGGTGGCGAAGAAGATCCAAGGTTACCTGGACATGCTGCCGGATATCCTTCACGAGATCTGTCCCGACATAACGAATTTGATTAACGAGTAAGCGGTCGAGTTCGTCGCGACTACTTCCCTCCTCGCGAAATCACGGCTGAACGTTTTACTAACGTTGTTCCGCAGAGAATGGTCGGCGGTGCAGCAATACATCAAGGAGCACCCCGACTTCCACCAGTACTTCTTCGAGTGCCCCGAGGATATCCCGTGGATCGACTGCGACTTCGGTGAGAGCAACGGCACGAAGATCCCGTACGACGTGCTGGAGACTCCCGAGGCGGAGACCGTGTTCAAGAATCACATCAACGCTCTGCAGCAGGAGCAACGGCGACTGGAGTAAGTGACCCGACGGGGCGCGTGCGACGACGGTGTAACCGTCTTCGTATCGCTTCGACAAATATCGTAGAATCCAAGTTCGTACATCTTTCTCTTATAGAGCTGTGATAGATCTGATAACTGATCTAGCAGAAAGTTCGTGTATCGTTTCATTTGACATATTAGAAGATAATACTTTCATATGCGATATACTAATGCTTTGCTTCATTCTGGGTGGTGCTTTGTGCAGACTTCCGAAAAGGTAATCACACTTGTGTCTTTTTTTTTCTTTTCCACTTGCTTTCGTTATCTACTATAAGTAAGGCCGCAAGTACATCTTACAAGGAGATATCCCAAGTGTCCTTTTCTCTGATCTTAATGAAACTTGGTGGGTTTTGTAAAGAGCGTCAAAATTTTATATTCGAAACGTATTTTTCGACAACTAAACATATTTAAGGGGTGAAATTAGCCTTTGAAAATCGGTAAAATCATATTCTTTTATGCAAAAAATTAATGTTTATATTAATGGATAGCTTTCGAAATTCTGTACATTTTGTGAATTTACGAAATTACGTTATCATACTTAGTTCAAAAGTTATAAAAAAATTTCGCCAGTTTCCAAGGGTTTGTTTCACCCTTTAAACATGCTTGGTTGCCGATAAAAAAAGATATACATCGAATATTTTTACCTGCTTTACAAAACCCACCAAGTTTTATTGAAATCTGAAAGGGACATCTGGAATACCCTCTTTGTCAGTTGGAATGAACATATGACACTCGTGTGTCGCGATGTTTGCTGTGCAAACATTTGCGTAACGGTGTATGCTTACGTGTCATGTAAAAATAGTAGATTCGAGGTGTCTGCGATCGGTCAATATTTGCCAGCGGCTTATAAGAAATCTATTCACACGCGTTGCATGAATTATGAGACGATTTCCGGTGGAATTAGGATCCGACGAGACACTTTCGTCATGACACTGCATTGCCGCGCAAAAAGTGCACTAATTGTTAACACGTAACTGACTTTCGTAACGATCAAACGTCAGACTATTGTATTTATCCGAGATCGAATTTTCGAGTGTTGCTTTTCAATGAAAATTACTCGACAAGTCTCGTCCCTCGCACTGCAGTTAACAGTAATTGATTTCCGTCAGGTGGAAGAAGCAATTCAAGCAATTGTTGGAGGAAACTGGTTACGTTACGCCTGGGAAACATCTGTCCGAGGTTAGAGTTTTGTTTATGGGCAGAGAATGCTTCGAGGAGCTCTCTCATCACGATTGCCAAGAGATTTACGACCAGCATCAAAAGGAGATTATCGAGAAGGCGAAGCATAATTTTCAGGTAAGCTCCTCGTGGTAGTAACGACCACTTTGTTGCAGCGTTGCAAATAAGAGATACAAGTAGCGCGCAGAGTCACATCGTGTCGTGTGTTCTCGTTTGCAGGAATTACTGTTGGAACACGCCGATTTATTTTATCACTTCAAAAGCATAGCCCCGTCCGGTACCATTACGCAAGACGACATAAAAGAAATCACGGACGCGTTATTGGATGATTTTAGGTACGTGAGTTGCGCCGTGTTATACTTTCAAGATACAACTTCGCAATATCTCAAGCATGTTCTCACGACAGCAATATGATCGATTTAATCGCCGTTTCCGCAGATACAAAGCGTTAGATAGATTAGATCAGGATAGAAAGCTAATGCTGTTTCAACATTTGGGATTTGTGCATTGTCCCATAAGAGAGCATTGCCCGGCTTATCCGAATTGCATGGACGCGCTCATAGAGAGGATACTCGGCACGAAGGCACACAGGTAAAAGCGGCGTCGCCGCGCTAAACAATATTAAAGAACGGTCGAACTTACTTCATAACGCAAATCTGGAAACGTTCTAACAGACCTTCCTCATGGAATCACAGTAGTCAGTGGCAGTTAACGTCGGATAACAATCAGTTGAATTTAGTCATACTCGGGAGTAACAAACTGAGCGAGGAATTCGCCCGTGAGATAAGGGCGCAGACCGAGGACGACGAGGTGGAGATTGACTGCCAATTGTACACTCTCGGTTATCGAATCATAGACGGTGACGTCGGACTGCCGCACAACTCCTTCACTACCTCCGACTTCATGCCGCACGGTAAATATTTTATCGCGCAAACGGCGGAGCTTCATGCTTCTCCGGAAGGACCGTCTAACGTGCGTCTTTTTTTTGCTCCAGGATCCTTTTGTATCTACGCGAATGAGGATTCGTTTGAGTACATTCGATCCTCTTTAGAGAAAACTCTATTGTCGAATTTAGAGCAGGAGGATAGGCTACCTTTCCAAGGATTGCCGATTGTAATAATGTTCGTGCCAGAGTCCAGTATCGACGAGATGGAAGCCATGAGGCTCAAAGAGGAGGGACAGAATCTCGCTGACAGGTGATTGTGCATTCCTATTAATTATAAGTTGGAAAATTTGCAAAGTGTGCTAATTACTGCGTTAATTTCGTGCACAGCCTGCAGTGTCCGTTCATCGATGTCTGCATAGACGATCTGGAACAGGACAAGAGGTTCCCGACTCCGCTGGTGAAGGATGCTTTGCAGCAACTCATACAGTCCATAAATCACAGAGCTGGTTTTTTAAATATATATCAAAGCGTCATCGAGTGCTTGGAGCCTGATATTAGGTAGAGTATCGTTGACGAGTCGCTCGCGATTAAATGATTAATCAATCGCTCATATTTTTTACGTTGCGCTTGATTTCAGGATAATAATGTGCATGTTCTGCGGCGATCCATACTCGGTAGAGAACGTCCTCGGTCCCTTGCTTAGCCATCAGTGTTGCTTTCTCAGCGGAGACCGGTCTATAGTGTTGGAAACATTCCTGGGAGAATCCAAACGTCGGGTCGAGGTCATTATTTCGAGTTTTCACGGGGCTAACGCGTTCAGAGACGAGCTGGTGCACGGCTTCATACTCGTCTATTCCACGAAGCGGAAAGCATCGCTCGCAACTCTAAAGTACGTATCGTTAACTTGTTCCGCGAACCTTGAACTTGAGATGTAACTACGTTCTACTTGGTCGTCCCGCGTCTTTGTTCCAGCGCCTTTTCCATGAACATACCAAACCTGCCGATACAAATAATGGCTGTGACCGACACCGGCGGTGCGAACGCGTTCTTCAGTAACGACTTGAGTCATTTACTCATCACAGAGGGGAATGCCACCGCGGACAGATTGCAGGCGCATTTCATGACATCTGCGTCTAGCTGTCAACAAAAAAGTAAGATATCGAGATCAAATTGTGACGTTCAGTCGGATCACGTTATTTTAATTAATTATTGGATAATATAATAAGTAATTTTAGATTTTTTAGATAAGATCTAATAATTTTTATTTCGTTAATATTTTATGAAACAATATATGCAAAAGAGATGGCAGATAATAGATGAAAAAAGTACGTTGTTTCATAAAATTATAACGATATAAAAACGCAGTCCTCTCATTTTATCTGAAGAAGATCTGAAATTGCTTAGTCCAATATTTTTCTTGATTGCATTTTAATTATTTTTGATTGTATTTCTTTTCCTTTTTTGTAATTATTTTTCTTCACACAGCCGCGTTTTACACGCCTTTCTTCAAAGAGGTGTGGGAGAAGAAACCAGAGATCGAGCAGGCGTTCAATATGGAAGAGCCGGGGAATCTGAACGACAGCGGAGAAGGAACTTTGGAGTACTCGGCCCTGCACCCAATGCCACCGCCGCGACACGAAAGCTATCATCTTCAGACGCCGGATGACGGGTAACTATTCTAGACGTGGCTTCGTGATAACGGAGCGAACGGACTTACGTAATACGCGACTACCTTACTCTGTGGCTCAAAAGTCTAACGTGAAGCAGTATGTCTGTAACTTTCAGAAGCGGCTCCGAGTCGTACGAGCAGTTGACGCCAGACGGCGATCTTGGAGACACCGGTCTCACCGAGCAGTTCGCCGATCACCGAGCCACGCCGAGCGACGATAGCGATATTTACAGTCAGGTCGACTTCTATCGCGAGGAACGGGAGAGAGATCTGATGAAGAACGAGGACATTACGAGCAAGCTATCCGGTGAGTTTGCACAATAAAACTTGCACGAAGTACAGCATTAGGTAGCTTAAGATATATCGAGCTGTGAATTCTCATTTTTCTCCCTTTCTGCCTCTCTTTCTCCTACGTAACAGGTTGGGTAAAGGACACATTTATGCACCAAGATGGAGTTACCAACAGTTACTCACACAGAGCCTTTACGACAGGTCGACGACATATTTCCCAGGCTAAGCCACGACCGAAAGGGAATAGTCAGACTTTGAAACAGCCCGGAAAGATCAATCTGAAAGACTTTTCAAATGTAACAGACGCGATAGCTAGGATGACGATAGGCGAGAAAGACGAACACGGCCCAAAACTGACCACGATGGGTCATGCTCCTCTCGCCACACCGGAATTAGTCGATCTCGGCTCCGAGTACGCGCAGGTGAAGGACGTTGTTCCGAGCATGTACTCCGCGTACGACGGCGATTACATGTACGCCTTGGTGCAAGATTCCATCGGCAATAACAAGTCCAAGCTGCGTCATCGACGTGAAAAAGGACAACCATGTAAGATTATCTCTTTTTCTTTAATTTATTACTATAACAAAGTCTTACCGATGTAGTTATTGTCATATGGTATATAATTATGTGTGCGACATATAATTCTGTATCTTGGAAGAAAAGAAGAATTAAAAATCTTGAGATTTTTAGTGTCTATAAAAGGACATCGACTTTTTCTTTTCTAAGGTACAGGATCGTTACTGATATGCAAAAATTACTGATATGTGATTACTCATGATGACTATCTGCGAGCAGCGTACAGCGACTCCGACTCGGAGTGGAGTTCCTTGGAGAGACCGAGGGTAACTGACGTATTGGGCAAAGCGAACAAGAAACCTTCGTCGCACAAAAGAATACGCAAGAAACGCACCGCGATACCGGTCGCGACACCCAAGGTGCCGTCACTGGCCAGCATGGGAAGCGGGGACGGTATAGTCGGTTTGAACTACAACATGAAGGAGGACAAGAACTGGCGCGTCGATCCAGCGGATAGAGGTACGAATTTTTTTTTATATCTGCTTTTGTATCCGTCTCTCGTTGTTTGCGTACAATTTTGCGTAAGCTGTGGATAGCGATTCAGTAACGACGTACTTGTCTCTTCAGTGTCCAGCGAAACGCCTGACAGTTCCGACTCGAGTGATCCGGAGCACACTTCGAGGTCCAGATCGAAACAATATAAATATGCGGCGGTTAGTTTGCGGAAAAGATTCTCCGGGAACTCGTTGCAGCAACAGCACCTGCAACACCCTTTCAATGTGAAACACATGACACAAGAGATGTTCAGCGCTTCTTGTAAGTAACAGATGACAGTTGGTTCTCGATTTGTCAGAAGCATTTATTAATATGTATCTCGGTATATAATATGTATGACGATAACTCTATGATTGATATATAATTAATGAAATATATGCATCTGAAAAGTTTAATACGCTAATTCGGCAATAATCGCATGTACAGTTGATTAAAGTATATTACTTAACGTTACTTACGTTTAGCTGAAATCACTTCTTATGCTTCTTCAGTAATAACCGCTCTTATTTCTGTGAAGCGCGATGCTTGTCAGTAAGTTTTCCCGTTGAGTTGCAGTCCACGCTTGCGCTAACCTGCATGAAACTTGTGGTTCTTTCTAGCCAAGCAGAGGTGTGAAAATACGTTTGGCATTCCAGATGATGAGTCGAGTCTGGATGTTTCCTCACCGCGAGAAATCAATTCGCCCAGTGTAAGTTACTGAGCGTGTACTCTGATAAAAGTTGGCGAATTACGGTAACGCGCGCGGAATTATCTCATTGCTGCTTGTTTCAGTTCGGTATATTGAACAAGTCGAAGGACGGGGATAAGTTGACCAGGAAGAAGGATAAGCAGAAGGCGAAGGAGGACGAAAAGTTGGAGAAGAGAAGGCAGAAGGAGGAGAAGCTTAAGAAGCACGCAGAGAAGGAGAAGGAGAGGGAAAAGAAGAAGCAGGAAAAGATTAAACAGACCAAAGGCCCGGGCGGCACACCGATCTCCAGTCAGTCGCAGCTGCCGTTGATCGAGGATTTCGCACAGAGCGAAACGAATCGGATACCTTTGTTCCTCGAGAAGTGCGTGCGATTTATCGAGGACGAGGGACTGGATTCGGAGGGGATATACAGGGTGCCTGGTAATCGCGCACATGTGGAGCTGCTTTTCCAAAAGTTCGAAGAAGGTATACTGTTGATTGAAATCCGTCTTGATCACGTCGTCGTGTGCTTCCTTCCCGAAACATAAATCATTCTAACATCTGGTCGTAACGGATAATGTTGATCTATTCTTTCTCCCTTTTGCAACATACAGATGGTAATGTTGACATACATTCTTTGGATATTCCCGTGAATGCTGTCGCCACAGCATTAAAAGATTTCTTCTCCAAGAGGCTACCACCATTAATTGATAAAGAACGCATGACCGAGCTCGAAGATATATCAGGTAAATCAATGTACTCGTCTTACCGCATTTTAATATCTCGAGTTCAAAGCTCGAGCGATCTTCATAGAATCTTGGTACTGATTCTC